CTGCTGAGCACCTTCTCAGGAGAGAAGGATGGGCTGGGAATAAGTCATTTCTGTCATCTTACTCTTGATTTTGACAGCAGTGCTAGCAGTTGACAGTCCAGGGAACAGGGATCCTTGTGGAATACCACAGAAAAGAAGGACAAACACAAAACTGCTTTGGGAAACTCAAGGCCAACAAGGCACTTCAGCAATTCTTACTTTGAGCTACTATCACTTCGGGCTCAGTTAATTAAAATCAATAACTGCATTTGTTTTGGTTTGGAGTTTAGGCCTTCACTGAACAGTATTAAGGCTTTTGTTCACAGATTCACCAATTATAAAGTCAATAATTTTAAATTAGCTAGACATACTGTGAATATTGTCTTGGCAATGTAAGGCACCTCTGAACACAGGGATTTAGGGAATGCACAGGCATTAGGATTTTAAAGCAGCACCTTGCTAGTGCTGTGGATGAAGAACAAAAACATTTCAGATACTCCATAAGACTGTGTTCAGACAGTCTTATGTCACAGACCCAAACACCAGTGTTTGGGAACATTTCATTCTAATTCCTGGGTTAACTTGGTAGAAGAGTAGGGTCCACCTGAAAACTGTATCAAGAGGCAACAAGATGACAATTTCTAAAGACCTGAAGGTTGAGTTTTGCCACCAAAGCCTACAAAATTCAATTTTCTCTACAACTGTACTATTAAGAAATGTTGAGTTTGTTGCCCAGTTGGCCTGAAACTCAAGATTGTCAGACCCATATTTTCAAACTATTGTTTGCACAAGGAGCTTAAAAAGATGGTAAAATTTCTCTCCCTATCACTCTCTTTAGTAAAATTAAAAATTGAGAGATTTTTAAAATCATGAGATTTGACAGCAGTCTGGGTTTCAGCCTGAGATGGGCTGTTGTTCAGCAAGGTCAAGAAATCTTGAGATTTTTTTGAGAAAAAATATATGTTTATTTGAATCTTCCCTGAAATTTGTGCTTCATCCATCTCTAAACCTTTAGAAAACACCAGTCTGTTAAGTCTCCTTTCCACAACACCTTCTCCTGTGTTTCCTGCATCTTCCTGGATCCCAGCCAGGCCTGGAAGCACCAAATAACCACAAGGAAGATTGTTCCTTGAGATCACCACCCAGGAGCAGAAAAAATTATTGTGATCTGTTTGGGCAGGCCTGTTTTTACTGAAGGAACCACCTTACTTGAGCAGATGTGAAACCTTGAATGGAATCAGGAATTCAGCCAACAGCTTATCAGCACCAGTTACCATGAAAATCAACTAATTCCACTGAAGCAGCAAAAATCCTAAAAGGATGGCTTCTTTTGACACATGGAATCAGTAACATTATTCTGATCAGCAGGGAGCAGAGCATGTGTGAACCAAAATGCACAAAGGGCAGAGTTCTTAACTCCAAATATTCGAAGATGTCCAGTCTGCTTGTCCACAGAATGGAAGACAAAACTGAGGGGGAGACTACAGACTATGTAGGAATCTATATGCAGAGAAAGATCTCTCTAATGTAGCTACCCCAAGGGTGAAAAGCTGGGAGAATCTCTGTTCAGCACAGTATTTAACTACCTAAAGGAAAAAGGATGTAAATAGACTTTAAGAAACACACTTGATAATAAATCTATGACAAAAGGCAATGTAGAAATCTGTGCTTTTGAATTTATTATCTGACCTTCCTGCTGAGCATTCCCATGCAGCTGCAGGATAAAATAAATTGCACTAGCTAAAGAAACTGTAGGAAACATTTGAATATTCCCTGTTCTGAAATATTAACCTGTGATAATTTTGACCATTTCACTCAAGTGGAGAATGGCACAGTGCACAGATGAAGACACTAGGAATTTTTCTGGAAGAGAGGATTGCAAAAGGGAATAAACCCCAGCTGAGACCCCTGCATTGGAAGTGCAAAAGTTGTCTTGCTTAAACTGACTAGAATTAAAAAACACAAACCACAAAACAACCTTCATTAAAATACTCTTCTGGGAAGTGTGCAGCATGTGACTACTTAAAGGAACTGGTTTTGCTTAGAAATACAGCCAAGTCCCCACATTTCTGAAAGATTAAGGACTTTTTTATCCTTTATGTCTGCTTTTCTTTTCTCCTTTAAAAAGCTTTCATAAGAATCCCAGAAAGGAAAGGTGACTTCAGTGCACAGCAGATGGGCACTATGCTGTTCACTAAAGCAGATAAATAAAGGGCTTATCCTGTAAAGCAGCTGAGCACCAGAACTTTTCCTGTCAGCTGTAGACAAGATTCTGGCTTGCAGCACTTAACACAACTGAATTGTGGAGGACATTATTCCACAGGTTTAGATCCAGCCTGAGTCTCTCTCACTTCACTAATGCTTCAACTGGTCTGCACAAATTCTTGGAGCATCCTCACTGCTTTCCCTCACACTGCAGCCACCTGAGGAAGATGGCCTGGCACTCTCTAAAGTACTATTTATTGTAAAATAACATCTTGTTGATGATGGAAGATCATCAGCAAACTGTGTGCCCAATGCCTATACAAAGAACACATTCTCTGAGCCAAAGTCTTGGCAATCAAATTAAGGCATGTTCAGAGAATCTCGTGCTCAACTCAGAACTTCATCATAATGATACTGTATAAAAAACTAAAGCACTGTTCAAGGGACATTAACCATACATTTTGGACTGAAAGTATGACAGGTAAGATTAGATGAGACACATTCAGCAGACCACCAGAGCCAAATTTTGAAACAGAGGACTACCAACATCACGTTTGTAGAAAAGCAGATACACAGTCGTATCTCACTTGCCTGCACAAACTAGCAGATGGTTTACAAAACCAGGAAAGTGAACTTGAAGCACTCACTCTGTCTTTGACAACTTCACAAGCATGAGTTTTGCATGGAAAAAATTACATGTGTACATCATTAGCAGATGCAGGTCCTAACTCTCCCACTTTGATTATTTCCTTTTAACTGCCTTGTTTCTGATGCCTTTTAAAAAGGAGCATAACAGCTTCTCACTATTTATTCAAGATCTTGAAGAAAAATCATTCCTGGTGGGTCTTGAGCTCCCCCCACTGACTTCTCACTAGCTGCTAACATCCAGGCCTCATTCCAACACTCGGCCACTGTCCAGACAAGCTTTTCTGGATGGGATGTTGAATTTTTACAGCAATGAAGATATGATTGCCCTCTGCTGTGTGTATGCTCACTGTAACTTAGTTGTACCACTGCTAACAGAAGTTATTGCTCTGCCTGGCCCTTTCTGGAGAGCGCTGCTACTCAGCTGAAGAACTTGTTTTCCTCTTTCTCCTTAAGCTATTCCCCCTTGCTCCCTGGCCAAAGTCTTGTGTGATCTGAGACACTCTCCTTATCTCAGCCTGGAGCCCAGGGTTATTACATGCTCTGGATTATGTTCACCATCAGCATACCAACAAGTTGACTTAGCATACTTAATTGTGCCAAAATTTCTGAATGTGCCAGAAGACTTTTGATATCATTTGCCATGAACACTAATCCATAAAGTCTGAGCTTCAGGCCATCCACATGTCACCCAAAAGGCAAGCAAACAAATCAGGTTGTCAACAGCCTCCAGCATGCCTCAGGCTCCACTGACTCTCCATTGTTGGTATTGACAAAGGGTGTAGCCAGGCTCATGGCTAAGGACTTTGGCTGTCTCCTGGCTCATGACCAATTTCTACAGTGATGCAATGAGAGACACTTGTTATCTTTTTCTGAATAAATAACCAGCATCTCTTTTTGTCCTTCTACCCATGAAATGCTTATGGCTTTGGGGAGATCTGGAGTTCCTTCTCCAAAACAGGAAATGCAGTTCTAAAATGCAGCACCCTTATTTGTCTCCTGATGCAGATAGGTGAAGTTCCCAGAGGGCCAGTGAAGGCACTGGAATAATGTGAGAAAGGCTGAGGCCACAGTTTAGGCCTTTTGTCACATTCTTGGTCTTTAAGGTATATTCTCTACATTTTCTTATCTGTGTTATGCATTCTGGATATATAAAAAAGGAGGGAGCAACCTTAGAGGATACCACTTCATTGACAGATCCTCAATGGAATATAAAGATGGAGATAGGTCATGTTCTTTCTTTTCCTGGCCTGTGAACAAAGGCATATGGCTGAAGGGAGCTCTCTGATTGTTCTTCACAGTTAAATTGACTGCCTTCAGCAGCAAGACTTATAGCTGACTGCACACAAGGAATGGGAGCAAGCCCAGGTGACAAATAAATTTGGTTTTAGATGAAAGAATGGCTAAAGATTTTCACAGTTTTTTCCTCCAAATACCTTCTTGCAAACAATTTCATTTAGAAATGCTTCCAGGATCTGCTGTCTGCATGGACTTGTCTTTTGGAGCATTTCCTTTATGGCAGAGATTGTTTTACTCCATGTTTTTCAGAATGCTGTGTAGCTTTATTCTTTCAAGTATGAGATCAGACCTTTATAATGCCAAGAGCCCTCTAGTCCTGTGCAAGAGCTGAGCAAATTATGCATATTCTGTTCTATTCTACTCTATTCATAAACCTCCCCTACCAGTTTCTACCTCAATGTCTTCTCATAACACACAATGCTACATTATTATGAATTATTTTATGTGGTTAGTTTATTACTAATCCTCAGACTAAGCTGAGTAATTCCTAGGAGAGAACTGTCATAATGAGACAGTTTATATTACAGAATGCAGACCAAGGCCTTTCATGTGAAAGGTGGGGAAGCTTATCATCATCCTGTAAGCACTTTGTACAGCTGCTGACTGGCCTGCAGGGAGCCACAGTTCAAGCAAGCATGTTTAAACCTTTATTAAACAAGTCTCTTGCACTCCTATCCTTAAAACAATTTCCTGATCCTTTCCACAAATCACTTGCCCCTTCTTCAAAATCTCTTCTTGCGAACCACTTCATTTATAAATGTTACACTTCTGCTATTTCAAATAACTTGACATAATCTCTTAGTGAGTGGAATGACTTGACATAATCTCTTAGTGAGTGGAATGGTTGCCCAAAAAGCTGTAGAACCTCTTACCCAGCACACCTGAAGAGTAAGATCCTGAGAGCTGAGTATGATCTGGTATTCTGTGGGAGAAAAATACTCTCAGAACAGAAGACAGATTCAGGGCGTCGTCTGTTAACGATAATCAGAACCATTACTGGGGAACAGAGACAGGATGCTAATATGGCAGTCCATTCATCTCTAGAACTGAGCAATGCTTTCTTTTTCTCCAGAGTTCAATCCTCTCCTTTTCTATCAACTACTTACAGTGACTTAAAGCAAAGCTAAGCAAGAAACTGCCATCATAGTGCTTCCAAGGCTACCCCTTGGTGCTGCAAATCGACATTGTCCCCTTCGTCCATTCTCCATAGAATCATATAATTACAGAATGGTTTAGGTTGTAAAGGACCTTTAAAGATCATCTACTACAACCCCCTACAATGAGCAGGGACATCTTTAACTCGGTCAAGTTAATCAGAGATCCATCCAACCTGGACTGGAATGTTTTCAGCAATGGGGCATCTACTGCTTCTCTGGGCAACCTGGTCCAATGTTTCACCACCCTCATTGTAAAAAAATTCTTCCTTATATCTAATCTGAATCTACCCTCCTTTAGTTTAAAACCATTACCCCGTTCTTGCTGTAAGGCAACAGTGGTAATAACAACCAACAGCAGAGCGTGCAGAGCAGAAAATAAACCCTCAAGTGACTTAATCTGCTTTGGACATTTATTCCTCATGGGGCTTGGCACATTGCCATCAGCATTGAGCATGCCAAAAGAAAAAGATCTTTTGAATATTTCATCCCTTCTTAGACCTTTCTAGAGCTGATGGATGTTTATATGGAAGAAAACAGACCAAGCTTAATATGAGAACCTACCAACCTTCAGATAGTGGCACAAATCTTTGAGCTTGGGATATTAATTCCTGTAACAGTAGTAAAGGCAGCACTGCTTCTCACAAGGTAAAATGAGTTTGAGAAGGAGAGAGAACAATTAATCAAAGCTAGGAAGCAAACAAGCAGTTTTGTTTGGACTATGAACAAAATGCAGTGGGTAGTTGTGGCCCATGCATGTTATGTCAAACCTCAGTAGCTGTAGGTACTGTATTCACTTTCCTACATGCTGATACTGAAATAAAAGAATGCAAAACTTGGATTTTTATTTTTTTTTCTCTGTGGGGAGTGTAGAAAGTGTTAGTCTACATTCATTGCCAACATTCAAATAAATGCAATATACATTTTTTCAAGCTCACTGGGCAGTGAACATCACAGGTACAAGTGATCCAAAAAGGAATTAAGCAAGTTAATTCAGTTGTCTCCCACCAGGCCCATTTTTATCACTGGTGGCATTACAGCTATTATATGTGGTTATTTTTAGCATTAGTAAATAGCAGTAGGACTGGTCTGAGGCAGGTGTGGGAGGAAGCAATAGACTTCATTACCTACGTTGTTAAAAACTCCTTATTGAATCTTATGAAATCACTGTGTTTCCTCACACGCAGAAAGGAACTCCCGTCACTCAGAAGCTCGCAGAGTTTGATTTAGCTAAGTTCTTACACTTTAAACCAGCACAACCCCTCAGGATTGCTCACAGAAAGCTGTTGCTGCAACCGGCCAACACCGGCTCGCTCTGCAGGGAGACGATCGAGTCCTCGGGGCCTGGGCTCGCCACCTCCACTGCCCAGCCAAGGCCTCGGCCGCAGGGCAGTGACCAGGCAGGGCTGCTCCCGCTCCCGGCCCTCACACGGGCTCTTACCATGCCCAGGACAAGGGCCCCTTCCACCCTTCAGCCCTGGCAATTGCTGGGCTTCGTGGGAAGAGAGTGGTCCACATCATCAGAGATGTATGTAATAAGCATTACTAGATGCTTCAGCATGCCCATCCTTTAACCCCGGATTATGTAAAAAAATGAATTTTTTTCTGCTCTCTTGGCTAGTAATCCATTTTATTATAGGAGACGCTCCTCTTGTACCCGTTCTCCTCCCTGCGCAGGAGACCGCAGGGGGAGGTGGAGGCACACGTGGGAAGAAGCTTTTCCCCACATACTTCGCCCTAACTTAGAGGGCACCGAGGCAGGTCAAATCCGGCCGCCTCGGGACATGGGCCGGTCGCTCCAGGCCGGGACAATCGCCGCCAGCTCGGGGCCGGGCGGTCCGTGAGGCGGCAAAGCACAAGCCCCAGCGCACCCACACCTCCGGCCGCCTTGCCCAGCACTATCCGCCCTCCCAGCCCCGGCCGGG